GTGAGAGGAGGCCTGTCAGATTCCCACGCACCCATTCACCCGCTCGACATGGAAGACATCAAAGAACTGGAGGTGCGCGGTTGCACTCTGTTGCGGCGGTAGCTGCCTAGCTCAAGCTTTCTCCCCTCCCCCTCGCAGTGCATTGCCCTTACGTTTCTTCTTTCCCTTGCTTGTCATGCAATTCCTTTGTTTTTATGTTCGATCGATGGTTCCGAGCTCAGCAGCCCTGGGAGGGTTTTCGATTACGTAAAACACGTTGGATAAAGCGTGCAATCGGGGAAGTTGGGCTAGGGTGAAGGTTAGGGAAGAGGGTCTGCGTCCCCCCTCCCTGTTGTATTCCCTCATAACCTTGTTGAATCTCGCGAACGCGGTCCTCCTAGCTGCTGTGTGGGAAGTAGAGGCAAGTTCAGACGGTGCGGTGCAAGCATGTGTGCATAAATCTGGCCGCGTCATATCCCATGACGTTGAAACGCACTCCGCGTTTCACATTTTTTTCCCTTTTGTGATTCTCCAAGCAACTGCTGTGGCAGCAGTTTTCCCACACCCGCGAAGAAGGTGGTGTCCGTGTATTCCCTCCAGGATCCCCTCGCGAAAGCGCTGCTGTAGTAGTATCGTTGCCGTTCGCCATTGTCAGCTTGCGACCGAACGCACCCCTCCCCCCAGTGATGCGCATATATGTATGTGTGTTTTTTTTTGTGGCAAGGTCATCGGCAAGTGCTGTGTGGTTTGCGTGCTTGTAGCTGTTTTGGTGCAACACCCCCATGTCCGCGTAGGCCCCGAGTGTTGCTGTTGACGGTGGGACGAGATTTTCAAGATTTCCTGGCGTTTCGCTGAGCGCACCGAGAAATGCACTCACTCGCGGACCAGCTCTCGAGTATGCCTGGACTTGTGGGCGTGGAAAACTCCAGAACACGCGTGTACCACCATTTCTTCCCGTCGTGGTTGGTTCACAGCCGGCTCTTCGTTTTGCTTCATTACTGCATGCGTTTATCCGTGTGATCTTCTGGCGTGACTGCAGCGTGTTAAATATGTCATGAGAATCACCAATGATGCCGCCTTCGCTGCCGTGCCACTGCTGTACCCGCCCCCCCTTTTTTTTTTCTCAGAACATGTCTTCGAGACTGGCTCGCCATTCTATCGGGGAGCGAAATCGTTCGTCGAAGGCCATATCTCTGCACAGCGCGAACGACGCCAAGCTGCTGAGGAAGGTATTGAGTCGTGTCAATGCATCCGCCTACTCCTGTTGTGCCGCCCCAACTCCGGAAGAAGAAATAGTGTGGAGAAATGATGGTACATTTTGTTGATTCAGTTATGGCAGGCAGAGGACGAAGGCGATGTTTGTGCCTACTTCACTGCGCGCGTGCAGTTACCGGGCGCCGTTCTGAATCACGGCCCGAACGGAGCGCCGCGTGGAGATACATTGCTCTGTCGATGTGATAGGAACGCAACTGGGTGTCGCGTTTTTTTTTCTTACTATGACACGACGAATCCATCTCTGAAATAGTCTTAAATAAGATAGATTAGCAATGAATCCATAGCGTTTGCCTTGTTGGGGAAGATTCATGCCAAAGGATTTCCCTGATCGAAGCATGAAAATGAAGAGTATGGCGTGGCTACTGGACGGACGGGCGTGGGGTCTGGTACAGCCGCCCGCCCCGCCACTGGTAAGTTGCCTCGCGGACCCAGAGAACAAAGCGATGCCACGGGGTCGCCGTGTTTATGTATCGAACGAGACAGCGAATCATCAACCCGAAGCGTAGCGTATGCATGACATAACACGTGGAGGGACTCCCTGCATCCCTGCGCTTCCAAAGTTCGCACTTGGCCGCGGTTTATTCATCGGGGATTTACTCCTCGTCCTCCTCGTCCTCCTCGTCCTCCTCTTCCTCTTCCTCCTCTCCTTTCTCTCTGCAGGTGGCGAAGAGCGGCTACGCCTTCACCGACAAGCATGGCCCTGCTCTCAGCCTCGAACAAGTGGTCAGCAGCAGCAGCGGCAGCAATAGCAGCACCGCCACCAACAACAGCAGGCGACTCAGATAATTTAACAACGCGACTGTCGAGACCAGACAGACAGAGAGACATCAAACATCGTAATTTTGCAGTGGTCCTACCGGCAGTGTAGTTCCTCTGTGTTTGTTTTTATCAACGTGACACGACGACCCGTTCGTAGTCCAGTAATTAGAATTTTTCGAGGCAGAGAAAGAGAGGATGGGGAAATTTATGAGGGTCCACAGATGTTCGCAGGCGGTGCGTTTGACTGCTCCGTAGGCGCTTGTGGTTATTTTGCAACAGATGGGGGGAGAAAGAGGTGCATGAGAGAGGGACAGCGCGGACAGACAATGGTGGTTAGATAGGCACCACCATGGAGTATGGAAAGGAGAGAGGAGAGAGAACGGCCGCGAGAGATGATTTGTTTGTGCTCTTTTTGTGTGTTTTTTCAATCCAAACGTGTGTACAAAACTATGTAAATGCCCGACACACACTTTTGAGTTGATATTTTTTGCGCGCCGTGAGTATATATCGGTGGTACCAGTATAACCCCCCCCCCCCGCGAGCTAATATGTTGTCATTTGTAATGTAGTCCGGAAGAGCTCGCACTTGCCAAGCTCTCAACTAGCTCCATTCACTGTTTTTTTCCGGGAGGTGAGGTAGGTTTGATTGTCCCCCCCCCCCCCCCCCCCCCCCCCCC